AATAAAATCTAACTTTTGTTGACATATTATAAGAATGTCTAATCTATAATTTGATGCCTTTTGGAGATTTTACCATCTTTCCTTGGCTTCTTTATGCACAATAATACAAATTTTTAGCTGGGGTGCCCAAACTTTCGATCCCCACTGTATATATTTATATATATATTGCGCTGGGGATAGGCAGCCAGGAGATTTACTTCCTGGGGTAAGCAGCCTTCCAGGCACAAATACCAAATCCAGTGAGATTAGTGGCAAACAGTGAATGGGTTTATCATTGTTATTTACAAAACTATATACAAAGTGCCATACAGTGTTTAACCATGTGACGCCCGGCCTATGGCCAAATGGTGTCCACAAAAATGTATTACCTTACTGGGAGGCCGCCATATGGCGTCCTCCTGCACATGCGCAGTTCGCGCGCTTGCAGAGACGCGCAGCGGCGCGATCTGTCACCGGCCGTTTACCTCGGACACAGCCGATAACAGATCTGAGTACCGGCCCCTGTTGCCGGTATCATGTGACCTGCTGTGACCAATCACAGCAGGTCACTTGACAGTTGTATACAATGGATGGTTTCATTCATGCCATCCATTGTATACTAGTGTCTAGCTGTGAATGGTCACAGCTAATCACATGCACATGTCATGTGATTAGCTGTGGCCAAATCACAGCTAAGCACAAAAAAACAAAAAAAAACCTGAATGAATTGATGTCATTCAGGTAAATGCTTGCTTATAGCAAAGTAATTCTTTGCTATAAGCAAATTGTGTAAAAAAAAAAAAAAAAAAAAAAAAAAAAAAAATACTGATCACTTCCCCAAAGTAGTACAATGTTACTATGGTAACATTGTACTACATTGGACATAGTGAAATATGAAAAAAAAAAATCTTAAAAAAAAGAAAAAAAAATTTTAATAAAAAATGTAAAAAAATAAAATAAAAAAAAAAAATATATATATATATATATATTTTATATATTTATATTTATATATATATATATTTTTTTTTATTTTTTTTTTCACACTGTCACCAGTCAGTGTCCCTGATCACCGCCATGCCAGTTATATGAAGATGCTGTACTGCACTGGTGACAGTATGTAAAAAAAAAAAATAGTGAAAATAATTTTTTTTATTTTTTCATTTTCCAAAAAATTATGACAAAAAAAAATACAACTTAAAAAAACATACCATGCCTCTTATGAAGTACGTCGGACTGTCTACTCTGCAAAAAAGGGGTCATTTGGGGGATATCTGTACTGTTCTGACATTTGGGGGATATCTGTACTGTCCTGACATTTGGGGGATATCTGTGCTGTCCTGACATTTGGGGGATATCTGTACTGTCCTGACATTCTTGGACCTCAAGAAATTAGATTGGCCGTCAGTACTTCAGGATTGATCAATATTCAGATCTATCCCATAGTTTGTGAACTCTATAACTTTCCTACAAACTAAAAAATACATCCTAATTTGGGTTATTTTCACCAAAGACATGTAGCAGAATACATCTCGGCCTAAATTTATGAAGAACAATTATTTATTTGTAAACTTTTATAACAGAAACAAAGAAAAATGTTTTTTTTTTTTTTCAAAATTTTCGGTCTTTTTTGTTAATTTAGCAAAAAATAAAAACCCAGCAGTGATTAAATACCACCAAAAGAAAGCTCTAGTTGTGTGAAGAAAATGATAAAATTTTAGTTTGGGTACAATGTTGTATGACCGCGCAATTGTCATTCAAAGTGTGAGAGCGCTGAAACCTGAAAACTGGCCTGGGCAGGAAGGGGTAAAATTGCCCGGTATTGAAATGGTTAACCAAAATAAACAGGACAGGAAAATATCAAACAAACAAAACCCTAGCCTATCCCAGCTCTGACTACACACTAATGCAGATTGTAACTACCAGGATCTAGCCTACTGCTTGTCAGCCACAACACACACAGCTAGTTAGTTTCTATCAACCTTTCAGCTCTCCAGACAGGACTTGTCTGACCCCCCCAGGCGGAGAGCTCTGGCTATAGGTCCCAGGTGGATTTAAGTGACCATGGAGAGGTAAACCCTGCACTGGACCTCATATCAGGTATAGGTAAGGAACCTGGGAGATCTATAAATCCCGAACAGGACTTTCCAAGGGTTCCTTTGGGACACTCTGTCACAATATATTTAAATATATAATTATATAAATATGTATGTATATATATATATATATATAAATAAATAAACAATTTTTCCCTAAATATACACAAGACCTTGTGTTTGCCAGGCAGGTGTGAGCCCCCCTTGCAGCATACCCATTGGTTGTACAGACAGCCCAGACATGCTGCAGGGGACCGGTCCCTGGTAACAAAGCGCTCTTCTGTGTTTTTGGCAAGCCAATGTGGTGTCATGAAGCACAGCGGAGCAGGACAAGAGCACTTGTGATTCAGCAATGGAGCGAAGGTCAGAAGGTTGCCACTTTATTCATTCCATAGGGCAATCACTGCGTTCACGGTGTAGGAAGGAAGCAAGAATTTGGATCTTCCCCCTTTATTTTACAGCACGGTAGAATCTCCGAATGACACCATGGCGTGGCTCTGTGCATCCAAATACTTTTTAGGGAAAAATTACAAAATAAAATGATTTAAATGAACAAGGGGGATTTCATTCATCTTCGTGCTTATTTTTTTTCTTCTTTGGAAACAATGGTTTTATATATCGACTCAGACGTATTGTTTTCATCAACATGATGTTATATGCCTAATGCTGCAAAAAATGATTTGTTTTATTCCCCAAGATAGGACATCTGTTAAAGAATGAATACAATAGGATTTCTAATATTTATGCTTTACAGAAGATTTGCTTGTTTGTAGAAAAAAAAAAAAAAAAAAAAAAAAAAAAAAAATCACAGCTGCAACAAAAACTGAACAAAATAGGAACATTTTATTCAACAAATTAATTTTAATTTTAATTAATTAATAAATAAAGAATAAAAAAAAAAATCCATCCAAAACAAAAGGCTCAAACAGAGCACAATCCATACATATCCACTTGATGACCAGCGACATACTGTCAATGACCTTCAAGTGATTATAGCCACCAGGGGCGGACTGAAAACTCATGGGGCCCCCAGGCAATAGGATATCTTGGGGCCCCTGTGTCCTTGCCCAAACTCAAAAAAGGGGCATCTCATGGGGCCCCCTACTGACCCCGGGCCCTCGGGCAGTGCCTGAGTTTCCAAATGGTCAGTTCGCCCCTGATAGCCACATCATCCCCGCAGCTGCAGGCATCATCCCAGTATTGTTTTTTTTAGAGCCGATGGTTGGCTCTCTTGTAAAAGCAATCCGAGCGGCTAACTAGCCACTGGATTGCTTTTACAAGCAGCAGGAGGGGGGCGTCTCTTTCCCCCAGCTTTCCGCGGCTTTAATTGGCTGTCCCATCCCACCAGAACACCTGATTGACCAACCATCACTTCTGCCAGCTGATCATAGAGGTGAACAAAGACTGGAACCCCTCTGTTCACCTCTATGATACAGGGAACTGGAAGCGACGACCTTAGCTCTGTTGTAAACTGCGCCATTTTTAAAAATGAAAAGCTATTGATCACACCGATGTTGGTGCGATCAAATGCTTTTAAGGGCAGAGGAGGGGGATCTAGGGTCTTATAGACCCCAGATTTCTCCATAAAGAGTACCTGTCACTGCCTATGGGATGTTTACATTCCTAGTGACAGCTAAAAAAGTGATAAAAACATTTTTTTAAAGCAACAGTGGAAAAAAAAAAAAAATTGGAATTTTTTTCTTAAGTGCCCATCCCCCCTCCCCCCCGTGCTCACGTGCAAAAGCGCACCTCTGTCTTGAACGCCTGCACACAAACATCAATCATCACAGATGTGAGGTATCACCATGAAACATCACATCGTGGGCGGTAATTCTAGCACCAGACCCCCTCTGTAAATCTAAAGTGGTAACCTGTAAAGGCTTTTAACCACCTCCCACCAAATAGTAATATGACGGACACAAGGTGGTTCTCTCGTTCTGGGAGGAGGTCATAGGACGTCCTCCCATTCTCACCGCGCATGCGCGGCTCCCGGAGCACGCGCCCTCGGACACAGCGGATCACCGATCCACGGAAAGAGCCGAAGATGTTGCTCGGTCATGTGATCAGCTGTGTCCAATCACAGCTGATCACATGTAAACAGGGAAATGCTGGTTATCGGCATTTCTCTCCCCACGAGATGTCACGCTGACAGAGGAGAGCCGGTAATCGGCATTCCGCAGAGGGGACATGTACACTGATCATCAGGGCACTCATGATCAGTGTGCCTGATGATCAGTGTAGCCCCAGCAGTGCCAGCTGTCAGTGCCACATATCAGTGCCTACAGTGCACATCAATGCCACATATCAGTGCCAATCTGAGCTGCCTTTCAGTGTCACCCATCAGTGCCAGTCAGTGCCACCTATCAATGTCAATCAGTGCCACCTATCAGTGCTGCCAGTCAGTGCCGCCTATCAGTGCCAGCCTATCAGTGCCAGTCAATGCCACCTAGCAGTGCCAGTCAGTGCCGCCTATCAGTGCCAGTCAGTGCCGCCTATCAGTGCCATATATCAATGCTGCTTTTCAGTGCCCATCAGTAATGCCTGTCAATGTCCCATCAGTGCAGCCTATCAGTGCCCATCACTGCAGCCTCATTAGCGCACATCAGTGAAGGAGAAAAATCACTTATTTACAAAATTTTATTACAAAAACTAAGAAATAACGTTTTTTTTTTTTTTTCAAAATTTTTGGTTTGTTTAAGAAAAAATAAAAAACCCAGGGTTGATTAAATACCACCAAAAGAAAGCTCTATTTGTCACAAAAAAATGATAAAAAATTCATATGGATACAGTGTTGCATGACCGCGCAATTGTCATTAAAATTGCAACAGCGCTGAAAGCTGGAAATTGACCTGGGCAGGAAGGGGGTATAAGTGCCCTGTAGGCTAGTGGTTAAAACCTCGCCTATGAAAAGTACAATTTACGTTGTTTGTCGCTGTTGCACAGGCGTGCGCAATTTTGAAGAGTGACATGTTTGGTATCTATTTACTTGGTGTAACACAGTGTTTCTCAACTCCAGTCCTCATGGACCCCCAACAGGTCATGTTTTCAGGATTTCCCTCAGATGAAACAGCTGTGGTAATTACTAAGGCAGTGAAACTGATCAAATCACCTGTGCAAAATAATGGAAATCCTGAAAACATGACCTGTTGGGGGTCCATGAGGACTGGAGTTGAGAAACACTGGTGTAACATCATCTTTTCTAGTTTGCCAAAAGATTAGGTTATGTATTAAAAAAATGTTTTTTATTTATTTTTTCCCAAAAAATTGTGTTTGAAAACCACTGTGCAAATACTGTGTGACTGAAAAAGAAATTGTAACACCCACCAGTTTATTGTCCCAGGCCTCTGTTTTAAAAATATATATCACGTTTCGAGGCTGTAAAAAATTTTCTTTTTTTAAAAAATGTAAACAGAGAGTGCCAGAAAAGATCTTCAGCTCCATGCACACTACCGCCAGATATACTGCTACAGGGCGGCATGGGCGCGCAAAAATCACGTATGGATATGTGATTTTGCATTTCCGGGTAGGGGGGCGTGCTCGCCTTACCCGCCACGGCTGTCAATCACTGGGTCCCGGCCGGTGATTACTCACCGGCGCTCAGTGATTGCCGAGGATCTCTGACGGGGAGGAGAACTGTATGTAAACAATACAGTTCTCCTCCCTGTCAGCTCGTGCACATTGCTTTGGATAGCTCTGCACAGCACAGCCATCTAAAGCAGTGTGATTATAGTGAAGCACAAACACACAGAGCTTACTGTGAAACAGCACACAGTTAACCCTTTGATCACCCCTCATGTTAACCCCTTCCTGCCCAGTGCCATTAGTACAGTGTCAGTGCTTTTTTTTTTTAGCACTGATCACTGTATTGGTGTTACTGGGGATGTCACTGACACTATGTCAGTTCCCCCCAGTGCACAGAATGCCCGCCGCACTCCCGCTATTAGTCGATGGTCGCCACCATTACTAGTATAACAGAAATAACAGAAAAAAAATCCAGTATATATACCGCCATTTGTAAACACTATAACTTTTACACAAACCAATTAATTTACACGTCTTGGGATTTTTTTTTTAGCAAAGACATGAAGCAGAATACATTTTGCCCTAAATTTATGATGAAATTAGATTTTTTAACATTTTTTACTGGACATGTTTAATAGCAAAAAGTGAAAAAATATATGTTTTTTTCTCAAAATTATGTCTTTTTTTTTATAGTGCAAAAAAAAAAGAATGCAGAGAAGATCAACTACCACCAAAAGAAAGCTCAATTCATGGGGAAACAAGGACGTAAATTTATTTTGGGTGCAGCGTTGCATGACCGCGCAATTGTCAGTTAAAGTAACACACAATGCCGTAACTCAAAAATTGGCTTGGTCAGGAAGGGGGGGGGGGAATCCTCTGGAGGGCAAGGGGTTAAACTCCTAGAAGCTCCTAATAGCATTTATAATTAGTGTTCTCTTATATGTCCATGCACACTGTTAGCATTTTTTGAGCTTCAGCTTCTAGGAGCAGAAAAAAAAATTGTTTTTGTAGAGTTTTTCGGAGCAGAAAAAAAAAGGCGAAAAGTTTCTAAACACTACTAACAGCTTTTTTCTTGCTTTTTATTTATTTATTTTTTACTACATGTACTGTAAAAACGCTAATAAAACACTAACGCTTCTAAACACTACTAAAAATGCTAGTACCAGCGTTTTTTATCCAGCGTTTTTTTTTTAGCTTAAAAAAATGCTAGTGTGCATGGATGGAGCCATCAAGCGGATAGAGAGCAGACCAGCTAGACTTTTATGTAGTTCCTCTTTATTTCCACTAGGTGAAGCTAGGCTGAAAGAATTCTCCAATCTTCGGATGAAGCTGCAAACTTGAAGAAGACGCGGAGCAACACACTGGCTGCTGTTTCTGGCTGTCTTCTGAAAATACTAACATCTGGCTGTAGGTGGCTTCCAGGTCACAAACATGCAGATTCAAACATCAGAAGTCTTCATTTTCTAATGGTTCTGGCAGGGGCGGACTGACCATTTGGAAACTCAGGCACTGCCCGAGGGCCTGGGTCAGTAGGGGGCCCCATGAGATGCCCCTGGTACCTTTTTCATAGGCTTTTTTGAGTGTTGGCAAGGACACAGGGGCCCCATGATCCCCTATTGCCCGGGGGCCCCATGAGTTGTCAGTCCGCCCCTGGGCGGCTCTCATTGACTAACATGGGATTTCACATGTCATGCGACTTGGGGTCTCACAAGTCACGACAGTGTGAATCGAGCCTCAGACTGTCATACAGGAGTCTTTAGAGCCCATTCGATTTTGGGTCGCCCATTCGATTTGGAGTCCAAAGTCGCATGACAAGTCGCGCCCCATGTTTCCCAATGAGTACCATTCATATCTGTGTGACTTTGAATTGCAGCGACTTCGAAGTAGTTCCTGCACTACTTTGGTCTGACTTTCGTGTGACTTGAGGGCCATAGACTTCAATGTAAACCCTCTAAAGCTGCATGAAAGTCACACCTGCATAGGCTTTTTTGAGTTTGGGCAAGGACACAGGGGCCCCATGATCCCCTATTGCCTGGGGGCCCCATGAGTTGTCAGTCCGCCCGTTTTCTAATGGTTCTGGCAGGGGCGGAATGACCATTTGGAAACTCGGCCACTGCCCGAGGGCCCGGGGTCAGTAGGGGGCCCCATGAGATGCCCCTGGTACCTTTTTCATAGGCTTTTTTGAGTTTGGGCAAGGACACAGGGGCCCCATGATCCCCTATTGCCCAGGGGCCCTATGATTTGTCAGTCCACCCCTGGGTTCTGGTGAGTCAGCCAGTCTCTGCTCGGATGCGACAGCCAGGAAAATAGTATTTTCAAAAAGTAAAGCAAGCCTTAGCGATCACCATATCCTCTCATTTTCAGTTTTCAGTCATTTCTGTTCTGATAACTTCTTGAAAGGTTTCCATTCTCATGCATTAAAATACAACTAAGGCTCCATTCAACACTTGTGCGACTTTAAAATCCTGCGATTTTCATTGCAACTTTACCATGTGACTTTCACGGGACTTTGAGACGACTTTAGATGAGTGGGACTTTGACTTTGACCAAGGATGATTGTACACAAAGCACCCACGAGTCATACGCACTACATTCAGGTGTGACTTTCATGCAGCTTTAGAGGGTTTACATTGAAGTCTATGGCCCTCAAGTCACATGAAAGTCAGACCAAAGTAGTGCAGGAACTACTTTGAAGTTGCTGCAATTCGAAGTCGCACAGATATGAATGGTACTCATCGGGAAACATGGGGCGCGACTTGTCATGCGACTTTGGACTCCAAATTGAATGGGCTCTAAAGTCCGAGGCTCGATTCACACTGTCGTGACTTGTGAGACCCCAAGTCGCATGACATGTGAAATCCCATGTTAGTCAATGAGAGCCGTCCAGGGGCGGACTGACAACTCATGGGGTCCCCGGGCAATAGGGGATCATGGGGCCCCTGTGTCCTTGCCCAAACTCAAAAAAGCCTATGAAAAAGGTACCAGGGGCATCTCATGGGGCCCCCTACTGACCCCGGGCCCTCAGGCAGTGCCTGAGTTTCCAAATGGTCAGTCTGCCCCTGGAGCCGTCTTAGTTAGCACTGCTGAAGTCGCTCCAACTTTAGAAAATGTTCCTGTGCTACTTCAAGGCAACTTCTATCCGACTTATGCCCATAGACTTTAATAACATTTGCCTCCAAGTTGGATCCTCATCTATATTGATGTGATTTGGATCCAACATTACAGAAAGATTACCCGCATGCATATCAGTCCTGCATCAAGTCACATCAAATTTGTACTCAAGTCACATCAAGTCGCTAGCAAATCACCAAGAAATTGCCTGGCAAAGTCACACCGTAAGTCGTGCGACTTTCAGGTCTCAGTAGTTTGACCCAAACAAGGGCCATGTATTAGTTGCCCTATGATGACTAGTTACTAGGTGGTGCACAAGCCTCATATAGTAAATATATAGTGAATGAGCCAAATCCTTCTGCATTTGTGTCTCACGCGCTCCCCCATCCCAGACACTGCAGCTCAAAGTGGGAGGGATTCAGCAGCAGAGGCAGTGCTGTCAATCCAGAATGAGGTGGGTGGGACTAGGGGTTGATTGACAGGCTACAGACTTTGTGAATCAGCAGTGACAATGCGATCACGCCCCTCTGCAGGTTTTTTTCCATTCCACTGTAGAGCAAGCAGGCACCGCCTACATGGGAGCAACAACTGTGCTCTGGATTCAGGAGCAGTGCAGCATTGTTGTCACACGGGTGTACGTCAGCGTATGCCCATGCCGGGGCTGTATTTGAATGCATTGGGGGAAGCACAGGTGTTCTATGCATGCCTATGCTAATGTATGTCACATGAGATACAGATGTTGGGGCGACACACCCCGCTGCTCTCACAATTTGACAATTCGGCATCCCCAAAAAGACATTGTGCGTTTGGGGCCATGCATATCTTAGGAGCAAAGAACCTGGAGGAAACCCACGCAAGCACAGGGAGAACATGCAAACTCCATGCAGACAGTGTCCTGAGCAGGGCTTGAACCAAAGGACCCCAGTGCTTCAATAGTGCTAACCAATAATCCTGAGACCTGAGGTCGGAAACCTGTGGCTATACACGTGCAGAACGGAAACATTTGGCTTGTTTCGTTTCGGATCGTTAAAGCAAACTTCACCCAAAAGGGGAGGATCCACATTTCTGCATCCTCCTCCCTCCATTGGGGGGGGGGGAGGGGTGCGGATATTTGGTTTTGACAGTTATTCGCTCCCACTACGGTCAAATGCGCTGCGGTGATCACAGCCAGAAGTTCAGCCCCCCCCCCCCTCCTTCTCCGCAGCCTTCTCGGACACATCGCAGATCCAAGAAGACTGTGGCCCATTCACAAACTGTGAATTTTGGAAGACGGTTATATTCTTTCTATTTTACTCTATTCTATGGTACTCCAGTCTATTTTTTTTATTCTATTATTTTATTTTCTATTCTATTCCTTTATTTTCTAGTCTGTTGTATTCTCTTATTTTCTATTCTATTCTGTTTTATTCTATTGTTTTTAAATTAAAATGTTGGAAGACGGCTATATTTTAATACACATATATTTCAGTCTATTTTTTTTAATCTATCTATTTTATTTTTCTATTCTATTCCTTTATTTTCTAGTCTGATTTTTTTTATTTTCTATTCTGTTCCTTTATTTTCTACTCTATTCTGTTTTATTCGATTCTTTCCTAAATTCAAATTTTGGAAGACGGCTATATTTTAACTACACCATATATTCCAGTCTATTTTTTTTA